CAGTATAAATAAAGTTTACAATGTTGTGTATAGAATTTCACTTGCGTTGATTTAGGGCTTAGGCCATGAATTTTACTACGTGTATAATTTAATGATAACAAACATTTTCCACAATGCCAAATGCATTGTACATTTGTTTGTATATATTTAGGTTTCTTTCAACCGTACATATGGCTTTGTTGACATAACTGAATATGTATACAATTACTTGAACATTTTCATTAATCAAAACTCGTTGACAAACGGTGCAAAAAATAGGTACGCGCTGCTTACACCCGTAAAAATCTCACAGCTTGTCAACGAGATGTGTTCGCACTGCTTGTTCCCAGTTGTTGACAAGTCTGGAACAAGTTGTTATCATCTTGTAACAAGGTTGATGAGGCCGAAAGACTCGCAACAAGTTGTTCCAACAAATCTGATATCGTCTGCTCGTAACACGTTGATGACAACAAGCTCGTAGCAACTTGTTAAGAACAGTGTGTATTAGTCTTGTTGGAACAACTTGTATAGCAAGTCTGTTATCGTCATCAACCTTGTAACAAGGCTGGAACCAATAACTATATAAATAAACATCTGGGGCAAGTCAAAGAATGTTTTAAACGGTTTTATTAAACAAACTGACAGACAAAATGACATTAGGAATATGTTTAGGTATTATGTACAATTCTGTAGTTTATATTAATAGTTCTGGGACTTGATCTTCAACCATGTACGTCGTATTCTTTGTCTTCTCACACCATTCTGATAAACGATCTTTCATACTGGAAATCTAAATAATGACTATTTGTATTGAATATCACACCATACCACAACATACTATATCATACCACGCTAAACTACACCATACCTTACCATACCATACCATACCATACCATATCGTACCATACCATACCATACCATATCGTACCATACCATACCATACCATATCGTACCATACCAACCATACCATATCACACCATACCATATCACACCATACCATATCATACCATACCATACCATATCACACCATACCATACCATATCACACCATACCATACCATACCATACCATATCACACCATACCATACCATATCACACCATACCATACCATACCATACCATATCACACCATACCATACCATA